TTTTTTTTAGTGCATACGTATGCACTTATTTCATGGTTTTTTAGCGCATAAAGTTCCGAGCCCTGGTGATAACATAACCGTAATCAAAACGTTTTTTCTAGGGAACCTTTAAGGGCTTAATACAAAATGTTGAATAACTAAATATGCTTAATCCTCCAAACACTGAATTCATCGCAATTTTGTTTACATAAACAATATGAAAACAAGTGACGTACAAATCAACGAAATCAATAAGAAAAATGTTACGTCATTAGGTAACGTAACTAATAAATGCGATAAGATTTTATTAATTTTGCACGCTCTATGTTTTTCTAATAAAATTCGACCGTTTGTCCAGTATAATTAGTAATTTTGAATTATCTTAAAGGTGCGTTTACATTGCGGCCGCGAACGCGAACGAACGCGAATTCGGCTTACTAACGATTAAGTGTAAACAGTACGCCGAACGCGAACGAACGGTCATTTGTACCATTCGTTCGCCTTCGGAGCGGTTCGATGGGTTAGCGGTAAGATCAAAAGAAATGACATTCAGTGTGAACGTGATTCGGCTCATCACAACCGATTCGCTTGTGTTCACATTTATACTAAACAGTATTTTGAAACTCAAATTCCGAGCGAAGGCAAGCGAATGCTGACGAATGCTGAAGAACGAACACGAACGAATAGTCTGCACGGTGGGGCCGAATCTTTACCGAATTCGCGTTCGTTCGTGTTCATTCGCATTCGTTGGCGTTCATTCGCGTTCGTGGCCGTAATGTAAACGCACCTTAACGAAACACGTCTCAACCTTTTCTTTGATCTTTTTGTTTTGATCACTGCCACGCATTGTGTACATTTTGTTTGTGTGTTCTTATTATTATTATCTTTTTATTAATATATTGTGTGATCCCGAAACCGAGTTTATTATTTTTTTCTTTATTATTATAATATTCTTTTAACAGTGACCACCGCACCCGCGACACGTGTACACCATCACCGTCATCGAGTGTACCGCGTCAACCAGAACGCAAACGCGCTAAATAGCCGTTGACGTGAATTAATGAATTAATAAAAATTGTTTTCCACCAGGACACACACCGAACGTTAGACGATAAAACCACGTTATTCCCCGTTGTACTCGGATTGATTGCATTTCTAATCGTATTTTCGTTATACCCGACAAAGTCTTTTTTGTACAATGAGATGTATCGGTATTCATATCAATCAATCTTGAGGCTCCTTATTATTATGGGTTTTTCAATAGCAACTGAAATATTTAATTTCTAGCAGGGGAAGGATATTTTGAATTTTAAAGTTTGAATAAAATTATATACTAAATACCTAAATAAATATGATAGTTTATAAATAAATAAATTACTCTAAACTACTCGTTTTATACCAAGGGAGTAGGTATTAAATAATTGAACACAGTTATTTTTCTACCTATATTATAATACATAATGCTTGAAGTATGTTATTGGACAAAAAATCACTAGTTTAATAGAAAATATAATCATAAAAAAACATGTTGAACAAAAAAAAATAATTGTATAACTATTATATTTGTTTTAAAAATAACTAGTAGGTACCCATTATTTTCGTATTTTTTTTTTTTTTATAATATTTATAATATGATTTAAATATGAGAACATAATATAATAACCTATAAGGATGCGGACAAAGGGATGTTGGTATAGTCAGTAAATAAAATTGGTTCATTCAAATACATTATATATTGATATTTTCAAGCCAGTCATTCAAATCATCTTTTGAGGATCCGTAACGAAGTATGAGGCCCGGGGTCTGTGTGGATTGTACATCCTGCACATCCCGTTTTCACGGCACTAACTGGAACGCGAACCATTGCAGTAGACGGGGGGGGGGGGCAACTACTAAAACAATATTGTTTTACCAATGAAAATATAAAGAAAATCCCACGTCTAAAGTGATCAAATCGTCAACGAGCGATACAAGCATCGTTAACAATAGTAAATTTAGGATAAATTGTTATAATACATTAACAAAATAATTATAAGTATATATAAATACCTACTATAACATATTACAAAATTGATAAATTTTTTTTGTCAATGTCTTAATATAATTAATGAATTTTTCAAATTCTCAATACTTAACCATTAAAGATATACATAACCGATCGATTGTAACGGACAATACCAAGTGTAGAGACAATAAACCAAATACAACGATAAATTGTTTATTTATTGTTGTTATGAAACATTAAATTGAACATCCAAAAATTGATAACTAATGTAGTGGTAATATAATGAATCCTAGAATAGTTGAGAAGGTATTTATACAAAAAGTGAATTAGATATGTCGAGAACTAATGTAATATAATAAGTGATTATTGTAAACAAATGGTTTACAGTTAAATTAAGGTTTGTAATAATTACTAATCATAAAATAAATATCTATATTACATTTTTAGTTGTAAATTGTATATATGTATACTGTATAAGAAGCGGAGGATAGAAATAGACGGAAAAGTATATACTTGGAGGGCTGGTCTTAAAGGCCGTTACCCCAAAAAAAAAAAAAAAAAATAAAATAAAAGAAATGTATACTGTACCTACATAAAAATTTATTTCATGAAAAAAATAACTTAGATATTGATTTGAAAAATATTAATGTTTCAACAACAATTTTTAATTGAAATAAAATATAAAATAATATTTGAACAATGTATAAATACTAATACTAACTATTCATAACATTTTTTTGATGTAAACATTAGTGGATTAATATACATGTAATTTTATATAAATGGTATAATGACTTGGTTATAATTTTATTTTAATAATTTTGAGTTTTGAATAATGTTAAACAAAACGATTTGGCTTATTTTTTTTTTTTTTTAATATTCGACCACTAGTTTGCGAAATAATCTCAAGATTAATTGCCAAATGATTAATAAATGGGATTATGGTAACCACCTTCGGTAAACTTCAAAGTCATAGTTATTTAATATTAATATTGGTTAGACTTCAAACTACACTTATTCCGAGTTCCAATTGTACAAAATATAGTCTTTATAATATTTAAATGTGATTTTACTATTAACGGTATTATCACAGATTATATGAATTTTTATTTAAAGTATTTTTCGTGCATTTTTAATTTCATGGAGGTGAAAATTACCATTGATGTATACTTGTTTATTATTTTTTCTAAGATAATAAACAATATCTTGTCAAGAATCGTTACTGTTGAGCCAATAATAATATTGATAACCAATTAATTGTTATTATTTTTGAACATTTACTGGATATAGTTTACTTTATAATAATTATAATATTACAATAATTATTATTGTAATTAATTTGTACACTACCTATCATACCACACAATTTAAAATGAGTAAAACCCTAGTGTATGATACTTTAGTAAGTGTATTTATATTTATGAATTACTTTTTAACTATTGTATTATAATTATATTTCTTATTATTTATATGTTAAACTTATCAACTTATTAAAAATGAATTATTCTCTTGTCTCATTAAATTTGTTCAACTCTTAAGTAAAAATACTGAAATATATTAAATACATTTTATTTTCAGACAATACCTGATCCATCATTTTACGACGAACAAGTAAAGATGTTTGGTTTTTGGTATGGTATGAGTAATATATGTGTATTCCCAACCAAAGTTTCTGGAACATCTGCTTATCAAAAGTCATCTGGTGATGCCCAGACTGATCATAATATTTTACATTTAAAACATACAACAATGCTGTTTGATCCCAAAGTACGACAACTGGTAAATGAGTCTAGTGGAGTATTTCAAGAATTACAAACTAATGTGGAAGACCCTAATAAGTCAACTGATGCTTTATTCTACAGCAGAAAATACAGGTATTTTGATCAAATTATTTTTTTAAATTTTTAAAATTTGTTGTGTTCTGTATATAGCTTAAGTAAATATTTTAATTTGTTTTTAAAATTATTTCCAAATTAAAGTTCAATATTAAATATATTCATGTATTATTAAGTATAATTAATAATTAATTAAAATTATCAAAAATATAGTTTTATATTTAATCGAATCATTACTAGGTTTTATTAAAAATTGATAATAATAAAATAATTTTAAATTATGTATTATATAGAGCAATTTTGTCAGCTTGTATTTTGGCAATTGATCAACACAACTTGGATAAATCAAATGAAACATATAACCAATACAAATTGTTGCTGCACAATCTTGAACTTATTTGGCATTTATGTGAAGTACTTTACCTTGTTACTGTTCCTGGTAATAAACTAATTTAGAAACTCTTCAATGAAAAAATGTATAATATTGTACTTATGTAAGTTAATTGATTTTTTTTTTTCCAAAGGTGATACTATTTTAAACAATTTGTTAGATTGGATTAAGATTCATTATGAAAAAGCTGAAAATCAAGCATCAATGATTATAGAAGATAAAACTGCTTATTTTACTGATGAACATGTTGAAGAAAAATTTCCATTTTATTGGGACGCAGTATTTGGATTAGTTTTACAAGGAAACACTGATATGGTCAGAATGCTATTGTGTAATCACTCTCAAAGTGACACTGAATCATTTGTGCAAGCAATGAAAATATTAAAGTCAATGCCCACTTATAGTGTAAGTCATTGGCAAAAATAGGGAGGGCTTAGACCCTCTAAATAACTTCTAAGCCTACCAAAATTAAGTGTTAAGTTAGTTATAAAAAATATTATTTTATGACTTTTTTTTATCAATTTAATAGGGGGGTGCTTGAGCCCTGCCCAAAAAATGTTTAGCTATTTTCATCTTTGGTGTAAGTTTAACATTTTGAAATACATTCAAATTTAAATTAATAATTAAATTATTATAATTTTATATTTATATTTAAAAATAATTAATTCATTTATATTGTTGTAATTATTCATTCTGAAGAATCTGTAATGTTACATGTTCATGAAATTTTAGTATGTTTTCCAGAATTACTTTTTTGGGATTTTATTTTGTTACTAGACATGATAACATAACAGGGTCTAAAAAACTTAGTAGAGTCAACATTTGTTTTTATTTTTGAAACTATTTATAAAATAAAAGCAAATGGTAAAGTGATTTGAAATTTTATTTATCTCAAATTAGTCATTTGTTTACCATATAAAATGTTTATGTCTAACATGGTGGAGTTGTTTTAAATTTTTTTTTTGAATCAGTAAAAAAATGAGATTAATATCTTGAATTTTTGATAATTTAAACTATTCACTTTCATTAGGTGCATATTTCATAGTTATCATAAATCAAATACTTATGTAAAATAATTTATGATTATTTAATTTTGACTTTTATACTTATAATTTTTTACTTGATTTTATACTTTTAGTTATAAAATTACTTTTAATTTAAATTTAGTAATACTTTTATTGGTATAAATATAAGATATGGAGACAACATTTTGTGGATTAGAATATTTCTCCTAAAAGAGATTAGAAATTAGTTTCACTAATATATTTATAGTTAAAAAAAAAAAATAGTGAATTAATTAATTTTATTCTAATGATCTCTGTTTGAACAATTAATAAATCATTTTACTCCTGATTTTAAATTAATTATATTTACAATGATTTTATCCATCAGAAATATGTTTATAATTAAATATTAATTTAGGTGTATGGTGGTTTACCAATAGCAGAGTACAATTCAAGATTCAAAGGGTGGCAATCAAGTGCAAAAAACAAATTAGATTGTGGAATATTTTTATCAAATTCAAATCTTAATGATGTTATGAAGGTTTATATTTAATTCCATATATATGTAAATCATAATAAATTATGTTTTTAATAATGAAATCACTAAATTTATATTTAGATTATCTGTGGCGAACCAGATTCAACAGATTTGATTCGCAAACATTGTTCAACATGGTTTGAATTTTTAGTTGCTCAACTTATATATACAGAACCAACTATAAAAAAACATAATTTAAGTTTAAATGCTCATCGCAGTGTAGCTAAATATTATGATGAACCAGAGTATTATCATATGGATTCACTTGCTTTAGACTTATTTGACGGGGATTTAGAAGCGGTATGGATTAAAATTAGTAAATTAATTAATAAACAAATAATAAAAATTAATTATAAGTACTAATTATTTCATTTTCAATTATTTTAAACTGGTACTCAAATTGTTGTTATTATAGTTTTAATAACCTAAAACAAATATTTTGGAGAAAGGCAAAGGAGAAAAAGAAGAAAAAGATAGTTGTAACAACTTGTAGGATGTACAACTGTTGTAGACGATAATATATTTCAAAAGCTTAGAATTATCATCAACTGATTTAGTTAGACCTGTAGTAAGGATTAAGGATAGATGCGATATAAGCAGTAAGAGTTGTTATAGAAATCAAAGTAAAATAAAAAAGAAGAATGAGATATGAATATGATTGGTTTGTTGTAAAGAAGGAAATGTGTTCATAAATTGAATTGATGTTTAATTAAGATGTGTGATTGTTGTTTTTAAAAAAAACTTAAGTGTTGAAAAAATTATTTATTGCAGTTTGTAAAAAAATTAAAGTCATATCCGGATTCTGGATGGTCTTCTACTCATTTAACTAATTTATTGCATTTATGCGATAAAATTGAACCAGAGTTTGATATGATTGATGCAGTGTAAGTTTATATATCAAAAATCAAGAGTCAAAATGTTATAAATTAAATTTTTTTAGAGAAAGTACAAATCCAAATGAACAATATCTTCTTGATTATGGAACATTTCTTATGTCGCATCATTCATTATGGCAAGCTGGTGTTACTTACTTAGATCACTGTTCAGCTATAGGTAAAGGATATCTTTCAATATTATTGTCTAAATTAGAAATATCATCAGATTTGAGAATATCAAAAATTTTGCATTATGCTACAGCTAGACGCTTACACAATGTTGGTAAGTATTTTTAAAAAAAAATCATTATCATTTTAAAATTATAATAGTTTAAAGGAAACTTTTATTTAATAAAATTGTTATTAGTTTCTAGCATTTGCAAGGTAAAAGGAATGTTGAGCTTACAGAAATCAAGAATAGGCGAAGCTTTATGTTGGGCAATAAGAGGGCAAGACAGTGCTTTTGCCACATATTTGGGTGATATGCTATTAAAAGAGTATTCAAAGGGTGGACAATTTATTTGCCCTGATATACTAGACAATTTAGGATCAATTGTTGTTACTTGTGATCGTTTTATGTTTATAGGTAAACTTTAACTTGTCAGTTTATTTTATTGAACTACTTTAAATTAATGATTGGAAATCACTAAATTATATGGTTATTTAACTTCTATAATTTAATAAGATTAGTAGGAACTAAAAATTAATTTATATTAAAGTATTCAATTTATATTCAGATTTATTTAAACATTATAATTGTAAATTATATGTGTTATTTATTTATATTTTATAATTTATGTATATTTATAAATTATAATAAATAAATATAATAATGTATATAATTATTTTTTCTAGGAAAATACTTACAATTAATTAAACTAGCTAAAGATGAAAAACTTAGTGAAGCTGCATCATTGTATATAGAAATTTTGAGATCTAATATTTGTCCAAAGTAGTAAGTACTTGAAATTACATTTCATATTTTTCCTTGTAAAATATGTCATTGCAACATTTATTTTTCCTGTCTTTTACATTATTTTTATAGTTAATATTTTTAAAATAGTTATAAACAATTTAATTTTCTTACATTTAGAAATAAATAATATTTTAATGTTAAAAAAAAACCATAGTGGGCTCTAGATTGATATCCCAGTCTTTTTTGTAGTAAGTTTAATCATTGAAATAACTTACAAAATTAAGATACTAAGAATTATTTGTTCTAATGAATGTGATAGGTAGTAACAACAAATGTTGCGTTGGCATATTTTTTGTAAATAAAAAATAATTAATTTTTTTAATTATTTTAAGTTTCAGACTCCGACTATTGTTAGA